GTAAATAAGAAAGCCGAAAAACGTTCACCGAAAGTAGACCATCAAGCATGCTTCGGAAGATAAGTTTATTTAACTGAACCCTCTTATCTTACCCACACAGACCCTCTTGCACATGTACTTACGTACAGAGATACCGCTGCTGGAAAATAAATCAGTGTTTATTAACAGCAACCGGTGATTTTCGCGATTTCATTTCTGACCCAGATTTTTAATGACAGTCTTCCCTCCACGCACGTGTCTCGACAAGTATCCTTGGTGCACTAATGACACCTAGAAAGTCATTAGGTGAGAAAAGTACGGTTGATTAGCAAGGACATCAACCTTATCAGAGGGGCAGATGCGGGGAAACCGCTTTGACACGTACGCGAAAATTACCCTAACAGTACTCCTTAACTACCGACCTTGTGTACTTCAAAGACAATATAATGTTATCAATGGCCATCGTTAGAGGGGTGATTGTTGTTAATATGTGTTAATTACGCGATAAGCGCTACAACAACAAGCGTCTGGGAGGTTTTCGATATAAACAATACCTCGAAATCTTGAAAGTTGCCGTTGCTTATCTACAGATGTATAAAAAATCGTCTAGCAGATGAGTGATAAACAAAAACCTTGACAATGCCACACATACCCGAAAATATCAGCTAATTATGTAATGGTTCGTTCTTTGTCAACCTTAGTGGGTCATTTATTTGAGAGTTGAAAACATATACTGCTTGTTTCGCAATCAGAGCGAAAGTTATATTTGCACTGAAGTAAATCTTGATTTATATATATCTTCACGGTATGAGGTAGGGCATGCTCAGAAATGGCTCTCGTATAAGCTTAACTGTCATATGCGTAATACTGCTTCGAGATGTCCAATTTATGCCTAAAAACTGTGTTAAATAACTATTCTAATTACCCACCACGCTCTATACGACTTGGTCTTGTCTGCTCCAAAATGACTCCGCCGATAAGTGGCATCCGCCAAAGCAGTTGTAGGTTGATGGGTGTGTTGATGTGAGCGTTTAGTATTCTTCCCCAAAATTCCTAGATTCTTGGAGATCGCCTCCGTGGTCTAGTGGGCAGAGCGTCTGCCCGGAGAGCGAAGGTCGGGGGTTCGATACTCGGCCCCGTCGCGTCATATACCAAAATACGTTAAAAGAAGGTACATTGCCTGACGTTAAGGGGCTAAAACAAGGACTGGACAGCTTGAAGTCAGTATACTGTGTCTGATGGGGGTATCCATGTTTAACTTCATGGTAGCTCAGTGGGCTAGCACTATAAAACCGTCATTAGTCCTGACGAGTACAAGCACACCCACCCACACGTCGCTATACAAGTCCCATAAACATGGCCGCAACGTTAAGCCTCATTTTACCTTACCACACTTTGATTCTTGGATATAAAACCAATGGTGTCACTTAAAAAACTTCACCGACCTACATTCGTCAATATAAATCCTACCCTCCATCTGTCACGCCGATACAGGGCACAGTCTCGCGTGCCAGAAATGATTGACTGATTAAAACCAAAAAAACTCTTCTAAAATCAATTGATATTGAACGCTATATATACCCTGTACAGACACTGGGCCCGTGCGTGGTTAATTCATAATCAGATTTAGGGGGCAATATCTTGATGTATTCATGTCGAAAAATATAAGAACACGCGGGTTATATATTCTCAATCATATACTTTGGCTTCCGAGCCATACATGCGCGGGCATGATATCTAACACTATATGATTGAAAAAGTTCATCAGTAATCAGTCACTGCAAACGAAATGCCAACGTTGACCGTAAACATTTGCTTTTAACATATATCCCCCGTTCATGTTAAATACTTCTTGTATGCATGGTCAGACTAGATATATATGGGGTAGATTAATGTCATAATTTTAAAGCCGTGATGATAGAAGCGGCATGATCTCTTATTTAACCTCTTGTCCATTATATATACATATATATACACTTCCATATTACATGACCACCAGCTTCCATGTACAGCTTATAATCTGGTCTAATTAGAAATTTAGATATGCCGTTTGAATTCACATATATAATTCATCATATAGATTCCATATCACGGGACGTACGTGAATAGCGTGATATAACCCTGAATACTTATGGCAATGACCATTGATTAACGTCGCAGTATTTTGGCTGATTTTCTTTATCGTGCACACAAAGGTCATGTTTATATACAATTTCACTTAAATCTCCCTTAATGGACAAGAGGTTAAATAAGAGGTCATGCCGCATCTATTATCACGGCTTTAAAATTGTTACATTAATCTACCAGATCGTTTTGCAATCAACACTAATTTGTTAAGTAATTAACAACTGCTTGACGATATAGACAAGCTAGGACCCGTCTCTGAATTCGGTAGCTAGAATAAACAAATCAATTACTGCCACGTCACAATGCCAGGTGGCGATGCCGGCACGTGCGAGCTACCGTGCATTGACAGAAATTAGTGTCAAAGAGGTGAAATGGACAACATTGTACATATCAGATTTATCACTTTTGAAATACGACCTCCTCAGAAACCCTGATCTGACAAGTTTGGAGTCAATCTTTCTTTTCCACCCAAGTGACGGACTGACATTAATAGTTTCCCGATTTCTAGCGTTCATAACAAAAAAAAAACAAGCAATTAACGTAAACAGTTTAGCTGGAGTATGTGTGTGTGTGTGTGTGTGTGTGGGGGGGGGGGGGGGGGGGGGGGGGCTTGATGTATATCAAGTTTATTTCGTAATTCAGGCCACTTGGCCAATAGTACAGTTGTACAGTTGGATGCAACACTAAATGCATTTACGCTCCCATTAATGATTTACTATGGCGTGTGCCAAAGCTCAAATTGCACGTGAAGGTGCGAATAACTAATTTGCATAAATTGTGTTTGATGTGGAACGTGCATGACACGGAAGAAGTGTGCTAAGAGGTCAGGAAGGACTGCATGCATGCAAGGGAAACTGTATCTGCATTTAGCTAAATTACCCATTGTTGTCAGTACCTTAGTTATACACATTCCCACATGGGTACAATGTGTGAAGCCCATTTTCCGGTGTCCCCCGTCGTGATATTGCTGGAATATTGCTAAAAGCGGCGTAAAACCATACTCACTCACTTATTATACACATTGCGTCAATGCTCAGTTTGGAACATGCGAGTCTACACGAGGTAATCCTCCGCTGTAGGCGGGAGTCGAAGCAGGTTGCAAATATAGATAAGACTCGTATATTCAAATGTCACCAAAGCCTATATTAAACTTAATACTAACTAAATCTATTTATGTATATTCATAATGTCATTGTGAAAAATGCTTTGTTATTAATTTCAACAGCTGATACAATGACAATCCCAAGCAATATATATATGGATCGAAGCTGTTGAACGCATACACTTTACATACAACGGTTTAATACAGAAATATTCTAAAACACGAAACACCATTTGATTAAATGCAGGAACACATACGTATTCTAACGTTATACAAGACATCGAAATTTGTTTTTCACGTTGAGGCCACTTTTTTTTATACCGCTGCAGGTGCACGAGCAATTACACAGGCGAACATGCATAAGATAATGGAGTGTTGTACGAGCATTTTGTTGTGAAGCACTCCACCAGCTTTTCTCATACACACTACACCATATAGAAAACACGCTCTGCGTCGCTGGATTTACATAAGATATTCCCTTTAATAACACAACAGCGAGCTCGGAAATCATGCATGACACACAAGTCCCGTTCATGTTCAAACACGTTCAGTTATTCTCGTATCCGACGGGCTTTAAAGTATAGTAGAGTCTTATGTCAATCCCACGAGGCGGGACTCCTTAAAAGGAAATTTAAAATCCACACACAGTCAACAGGTTGCTTAGTATTGACACCAATAGGTAATAAGATTTATATATAACTTGTATATGGGTACTTAATTCTGCACGTAGGTAGATAAAGCGGGGGCAGGATAGGTCATCTCGATCGCCTGATTGAGGTAAAAATATCGCCAACATAACCCTTGCATTTAGACAGTACGTTTAACACCGTCAGCACTCAGCAAGCAGATTCGGTGCTGACGAAACCCGCTTGTGACTAGTTACGCATCATATGATCGCCGTATAGTAGACTCGTGGGCAGTTTCGCAACAAGATCTATTTTTACCTCATCGAGTCGGGAATCTCACAACCCCACTTGCCTCGAGCTCTTGCGCACTCCAAAGTAGGTCACCAGGTTGTTGGGTGATATACTGGTTTGTGCAGTGTGGCCGATATGTGTAAATCACATGATTAATCGTGCTTTCAAACGTTTAATAAAGATCTCGTGCAACACACAAAAATCATGTGAAATGTGATCATATACCTTCAACGGAAAGCATGCAGTCGTGCATGCCGAGTAAAGCTCAGTAAACAAAGAAACTAAATGGCGATAGAAATCAAAATAAACGCTACGCCTTGATCTACCGCGAGCACAACAACTGATTTAATTAACGAAGATCTCTTTTTTGAGTCAAATATTTGGACGTATCCGCCACATCGCCCAGAATATAACCAGCCGTGTTGACATTCCGTTTGTAGCTAGCAGAAAGCTCACATTCGGTTTTGTTTACATCCCCAACCGTGTCTGGAAAATCGATACAAAGCGAAAAGGCTTGATTTAGCTCCGTATCCACCTAAACATCTAGAAATTGATAAACACGGCTTCATTTCACGTCCCCTTCTATCCAGTGTGCAGATAAAATAGCCACGACAATGCCTAGTCAATGCAATACGTTCTCGCTCCGGCCAACGCCCATTCAACAACTTGTTGTGTCTTTCCTGCCAAAGCAGAGGAAGGCGTGGTCCTGTCACGTGGTTTGCTCTTGACCTCAATTCCATTGGCTTAGCCAGTGGTTGATTAATATTCATGACGTCAATGACGTAGCCTGAGCACCGGCTTCATAAATATTCATGAAGAATGATGTCATGACCAATCGGAACGCGAGCTGTCAGTAGATTATTCAAATGAAAGGTAAACAAACGAGTGTTTGCGTTCGCCTGCCTCAACGTGCGTTTCAGTTCAGGCCAAAACAACCACGACAGCAAGACCTTTCAGTTCGTTTTTCTTTTGAGTTTGCCAAAATCTGCAATTATTTTCGATGATGCACAGTATTGCACAACTTCTACAAGCCGCTGAATATATTGAGAGAAGAGAAAGAGGTAAATTCAATGGTAAATAGCAAATTTTTCTCTCGTGTTTTGCCACGTTGCAGCATGGTCGCCCATTTTGACAGATAGACTCGCTCATGTGGTCTATTTATTTTGATTTCTTTTTTGCAGAAGCTGAGCATGGTTATGCTTCCACACTGCCTATGCCCGATGAATATTCCAAGAAAAAGTCGAAAGGAAAGAAAACTCAGGGAAATAGGTACGAATTTGACCGACCAAGGCGAGAAATCGCCTTCAAACCGACTTGCTCGGTCCGGGTCAGCTGATAGCGAAGTCATGCCGTTCTGCACGCCCGCGATCTGTCAAACTCAATCTTGGAAGTTAGAGTTAAAGTTAACTCAATCAATCATATCTAATTGATGTAACTCTTAGATAGACAGGTTTTCTATCAGTCTCATCCATTATTGTTCGATATTTGTGAAATATGAGGCTAGTGTGGAAAATTTTTACGCGCTGTCAAAATCTCTCGCCCAGCCGACGACAGCCGCCATCTTGTGAACCGGTGCTCGGGCAAGCTTTCCCTGATAACAACAATAAAGAACGTTACTATTTTCCAATAACATTGTAAGCATCACCTATAATAATGGATAATCTGAAAGCTAAAGGTCTTTTTGGTGCTACTGTCATGGAATGATAGCATATCTATGGTCTTGAACTATTGCTTTGTAAAGTTGAAGCGGATGATATTCCGCGCGCCCAACAAACGGCAGATGTCAGATTTGACTCGTACCTGACAAAGACGCTTTATTCTCTTACAAACCCTATGCAAAAAAATACCGATAACTACGAATGAAATAAATTCAATGTTTTGTCGTAATGTTATTTCAGAAATGCTTGTGTTTGCATTTGACCTCTGTAAATCCTGTGGCGCCAAGTGTATCGGTCGCTAACGCCCTTTCTAACGGTTGCAAGCCAAATGGATTGTTTACAAATTGATCTGCCGATAAAACCTACATGGCTCTAGATATGTTGCTGCAGTTTATATTTTGTGAATATGGATATCTCTTTAGTTGTGGTTCTGTTTTGAAATGTTTTTATTTTGATGATTTAGCGATATTGCAAGCACATTTGCCACGTTGATAAATCTGGCATTGGAGTCGTAGATACATCAATATTGATTTTGTAATTAATAAGTCACTTTCGACATGTTTATCACGTCAATGATGCTCAACAGATGCTTTCATTTCGATTTTTTTTCCAGATCAACTCATAACGAATTAGAGAAAAATAGGTGAGTACCTAAATGATTCATTTGTTAAGCCTAGCTGTCAGATACACAAATCCACCATTTTGTAACTTGTATATCCTCCATGCTCCTTTTAGCAACTATGATTAACCTTTATTATATTGACGAATATGGCCACATTACAGTTGCCATATGCATACTTTTCCACATGCACCGGCTTGTGATCTTATTGTTTGCGGCGGACATTGAGATTCCATATTGGTCATGTGGTTTCGAGAAACGACCTTCACCTTGAGTTTACAAACACCGGGACGATAGCAAAATAGAACACAAAGAAATGTGCAGTTTCGATTGCGTTTAGCGCTTTTCTTTCAGTTTTGGCGCAAAAGAGGAACTTTGGTTCACCTTTCCATACTTCGTTCAAAAATTAAAAACTTAATCCTTGGATACAGATACATAGTCATTGTAACTAGGTTATCTACAATCTAGATCCACTTTATTTAACGAAATAAGTTATTGTTAATATCCTTGTTGAAATGACATTCCATTTAAAATGAATTCCACACAGGATTATGATTGACAATTGACATGAGTTGCTATGATCCTACATTTTACAAATGATGAGGAAATCATATGATTTACTCTCAATTTATTGTAGTTACTGTTAGGAAATCTTGCTGTCAGTTTTTATTACAAGCATTTTATAGCTGAAATATATTTCTAGGATCACTACCAGATATATTTATGATGGTAATAGATTAATTGCAACCTCACTGCAAGAGGTAATTAATTAGTGAACATGACACAGTTTATTTTCGGTTTATAACCATTTCAATAAAATTGCAAACATGTTATTTTAATGCAGCAGTTTTACCACGTGTGTAACATAAACAATGTTCAATTATTGTCCTTTCAATATGAATGAAGTTATTATCTCATTTATTGTCTCATTTCATGGTAGAATAATGTTAAACCCATTGGGCTGGTTTCCCTTGTTTCAATTTCTGATCTGGAACAGTTGCAATCATTAGACAAATTCAACACTTACAACTGTATTGTGTCATGGTTGGGGAATAAATATGAGCATAATCAATGCCTTGTGTTAATTAAAAAAGAAAGAAAGTTAATCCTGATAAAGAGTTATGAAACGATATTTTGTATCTGAAACATTAAGAGTTCCATGGTTGGATTTTGGTTTTCCAATTAAGATCTTTGTCTTGTTTATATTTCAATGATCAAAGACTAATGTTTGGTTATGTCCATATTCTCATTTTTTCCATTTGTAAGATTGCAGCACCCTTAATTTTAAGTTTACCTAACATTGTCACTGTTTGTATTTGCAGTAGGGGTGACTATTGGTCTGGAAATCACTATTGCGATAACTATTGATATTGAAAGAAACTATTGCGATAAATATTGATAGTTTTCAGTGTATCATTTTAGATGGATTTTAGAGTTGAATTAAACCTTGGAACTGAAGTTTCCTTTGAATGTGATAACCATAACAACAAATAAAAAGTGAAGTTTCAGATATGACTGATTTGTTTTTTCTTTACCCTAATAATTTAAAAAAAGAAACTTCCACATTACCATGTGTAAATTACTACCACTTATGATCAAAAGAAAAACAAATTTGAAAGCATTGCATGTACTTTATTAATATGGTAAATACAATCGAAACTGAAATCTATACTATTGATCGAAAACTGATTACAATCGATTTATTTACTTTAAGTGCTTACCAATAGCAATATTGTGCATAGTTTTGTTTCCTTTTATTTTGCAGGAGAGCCCACTTAAGACATTGTTTGGAAAAGTTGAAAGACATGGTGCCTTTGGGACCAGACGCAACTAGACATACAACCTTAGGGCTCTTAACCAAAGCAAGAGGGTTTATTAGGGTAAGCTATCTCTGTTTCTTGTTGATCAAGCTTTCAAAGAGTTTGTGATCGATTTCATCTGTATCATGATAGACCAGTCAACACAAGACAGAAGCATATCTGAATCACTTATGGTCAATACTAAGAGTATTTATGGTCAATTATGGAATTGTTGTAAGATTATCTAGTAAAGAGATGATTTGGCCCGACGTTCATTCATGTGAAACAGGAAAAATAAGTGAAGATGGTTTTAGGCCACTTTCAGAGATATTCCAGCTATATCACAGCTGCATGTAAGTAATAGAATCTGTACTAGGCTGCTCACTGGCTGACAACATAAAACAATGATCCGTGTGGATTAAGTATGATGACCGCCGTCATATAGCTGGAATATTGCTGAGTGCGGCGTTAAACAACAAATCCACCAACCAACCAAAATGATGACATTCATCCTGTTTAAAGAGTTTTAAAAAGAGGCATAAAACTATACTCACACACACACTCATATTTGTTTTGTCTTATGACAAGAATGGGATAATGAAGACCTATTCAATCCAGGAATCCAATGATGTTGCTAATAATATTGATTAAAATGTTGCTGGCTATCTATCAAAACCTCTCAATATGACCCATACCTTGAAGCTTGTGGTCCTGTGGCATGTAAGAGTTGTCTCCCTTTGTTCACAAAGTCTGAACACAATTGGATCATTCCTTTCTATGGTGTTGACAACTTTATCATGTTTACTGATATTTAATTTAGTTTCTTTTTATTTAATATTATTATTTCATGATAATTGTATAGATGCTGGTCCATGTGTAGATTTTCTTAGAAAATGACATGTAATGATAAATTATTATATTTTCATTCAGATATTAGAGGATAAAGAACGGAGACATTATACTCAAAAAGAACAACTGCGAAGAGAACACAGGCACTTACAGAGGAAATTAGATCAACTGAGTGTTGGCATGTACCGTGTCAAAGAACGGAGTATTAGCGAATGTAGTACTTCTACAAACTCAACTACCTCAACTTCAGAGTCTGGTGAGTGTTTTAGTATACTGTTTGTTTGGAAGATTTTAAGTCTCAGTCATTGAATATTCATCAATGAAATGGGTGGAAGATGCCAGATGTTCATTTATAATTATTATGGGTCATTTTCCCAAATTATTAAAGACCCTCCCCCACTAGTTTAAGTTATCAGTGTGACTTTTGTGTGACGTTTGGGAAATTGTATTAAACTGTGGCTTTCAGTGTGATTAAAGTCGCAGACTGATATGGTTAGTTTACCATTATGCTATCATACTCATGGCCAGAAATCACTGCTTGTTTGTCATAGTATGCATTTGAAAGAAGTCTAAAATTAATTCTTTGGTGTATGAAAATGTTCTTAAGATATGAACATTGTTTAAAACATATTTCAATATTCTGTGTTTTTCTTTACAGACGAAGTGGATATCCTGGGTGACAACAGTGCCCAGAGTGATACCGATGACCATAGCAGCATTGGAAGTGGTGGTAGCGATGGTTACAGTGTGGATAGCAAATACTTTAGTTTTATGGACGATTCACCCTATTCTGAGTCCCTTTGATGGTGTCCTATCAAGGACAGCACCGTGTTGATGGGTAGTGCTGTGTGTAGCATAATGAGGAACAGATATCACTGTTTATTCCACAAGAGATCTGTTATGATCACTATGCTGAGAAACAAAAAGCAACTAAAATATCTTACTGATCCATTCAGTTAATGAAGGTCATCCAATAATTCTACAGACACATTTTCTTTTTGGAAGCAATGGTGAAGTCTATTGACATTTTTCCAATTTTTTAATTTTTTTTTTTTTTGCCATTTGTTGCTGTTATGACATGTTTATGTTGTGGGGGTCAGTCCAGTCCCTCAAAGATATGCCACCAAGCCTTCCCTCATCAAGTAGGTACCGTTATCCTATGGCAGCAAAGGCTGGGGGTGGCATTAACTGGTAGTAACACTTGTTTCAGCTCTGTTTTTTTCTTGCCGGAGTAGGCAAGGCGCATACCATACTACATCAATAAAAATGTCTAGGAGTGTTCTGATACAAGCCGAGTGAATGGAGTATACTGATGATTTATATTCTTCGTCTGTCCTAGACACACAGGACTCCCTCTCTATGTCTCCAAATGTGGATTACTGTATCAAGCTTGCATCTTTGACAATAAGTTGCTTTATAACTTTCATCAGCTTTGTAAAGTGACATTTGTCACAAAATAGCTTTTTGATGAACATTTGGCTAATCTTCGGTTAAATTGTGCTATTGTAAAATGATCTGTAAATCTGACGCAGTTCCTACTTAATCTATTTGCTCTTGTAACATAGCCTGTAGATTCTGTATTCATAGCAAGAGAAAAAAAAATGTGCAAGCATCAAAAGGAAAATCTTCCAGGGGTGACACGTGTCTAGTCTTGTGGCTAGTGTTCTGTTGTACATCAGTCCAGAAGTCCCGGTAGACTTATTTGGGCTGAGGATGAGCTTTTCAGACTTCTTCCAAGGCAATCATGGTAATATCTGTGATACTAAGCTGAAATGTGATTGGCTGGAAGATGAAAGGTGTCCTCGCCTATCGAGGCAGCTGTTGGATCGGACCCGCGGATGGATGGATGTACTTGAACAAGATGGCCAATACCTACAACATATGCAGTGCCTGGTCATTCAGCCAATATCCAGGGGAAATATTTTTTCAATACTCAAACTCAAGATTTTCTGACTCATCAGAATTGATCTGAGTAAGGTTTTGTTATTCTCATAGGGCAAACAGAATTCCAATTCTTCTCCAACTGAGGATTGGCACTGCATCTGGAGTAAATATTGCACTGTTACATCAAATGTGCAAGTATACACTGGAATGGTTGGCTTTTTGCAATAAAAGAAGTGACAGTTTATTTGTCACAGAGATATTTGCATACATATTCTCAGGAATGATGAAACCATGAGTAGGTTTTGATGAAAAGCTTGTTCTCTACATGGAATAATTACTGTTCGTCCTTTCTACATTTTACTCAACAATAAGACATCACAATGCCTTTCTTTAACCTATATTTTTGTAAAGTGTTTAAGAATATGGTAAAGTAAATTAGGTAATAACCTGATATTATGATTAATATTTTCAAATTTGGACTACAGTTGACATTTTATTTTTGAAGTGACATTCACTAGGGTTATTGATGCATAAACTTGTATTTTTGCTTTAAGCTACTAAACAGTGAACCCCAGTGTTTCAAGTGGCTGATTGTAATGTCCTTTGACTTTTAGTTGTGTGGTTGAACCTAGAATGGTTTAAATATTTAAGGGAGTAAATTAAATCTGTTGAACATATTTGTAAAAAGTAAAATATTTATATCTTTTCCGTTATGGTTCTGTCTGTTTAATGAAAGGATCTATCTTGACTAAGCTTTTCTTGGTTTTATGTCAAAGATAATTTGTACATGCAAGAAAATGTTTTGAGTTAAATTGTCTCTTGACATTATTTGACGAGATTATGAATTTGTGAGGCAGTTACTTGCCAAGAAACACAATAACATTTCTGATTCTCATTTCTTGCCCTGTGATGATCTAATTCTTTTGTGTTCTGTATCTTTTGTTGTAAAGTTTCTTTAGCTTAGTATCATTGTTAAACCAACACACTCAGTCTTGTGAAACAAATATTTATCCCTGAAAGACATTCGTAAGCATGTTGGGTAATATTTTTAACTATGATAATCAAAGGAATTTTGATTACGGCCATAAAGATTTTTATCTTTGTCAAGTGTACTGGATGCATGGATGCAATGATTTTAATCTTTTTAGCACAAGCAAGTCTAAACATGCACTGGATGCAAGTTGCTTGCAGGAATCGATTTTAAACTGTTTGACAAGATTGAGTAGTGATTTCATGTTTAGTTCAGTGAAATATTTTACTTTGCGATGTGGTTCTCAAACTGTCACACTTGGTGGTTGAAAGATCCCAGTGTAGATCGACTTTAGTGTGAAATGTGTGCATACACAATGTGCGAGAATGTGGTATGAATGGACGTTGTTGTTATTTTGAAGTACTTAATGAGGATGATGAAGTGAAATAATGACTATGTATGCTGCTTGTAACCACGGTAACCAGTGAAGCTCTGTTTATCAAAACAAAACGAGGTGAAGAATATTCTAACAAATCTGTGATCATTTTGCATGGAAGATTTGGACTGATTGAGAAATCTGCAGGTTTAATTGTTTTATTTATGATGCTGTTTGTGATATAATTTACTATTTTCCTTTCCAAGTTATGCTTTGTTTGCAAGGTTTTTGAGACTTATCAGCAACTTTCCTAGACTTATTCCTTTGTTTCCCTGATAATGCCAACAGGCATAGATTGTTCCTCTCCTCCGCCACGATGTTTAACATCTAGTCATGGAGGCTTGAAATGGAAAGCATATTTAATATGCAAAAATTCCCTACTTAAAAGCTTTTGCTTCAATAGTAAAGAATGAACAAAGTCATATTCTCATTAATGACTGCTCCCAAACACTGTTTCAGAAGAACGAGGGCACTACAGAAGCATTCTGCATATTTTTGAGACTATAAAATGGCAGTATAATAATTATGGGGACGGTCATACCAAGGATAGCAGTAGATGCTTAATTGTTTTAATGTTGATTTTCTATAATTATGCATAAAAAAGGAAGTGTTTTTTCTGAGTTGCCAAGGAAAAGCTTGATATTTCTAAACCAAAACTTGGTGAAAATAAGGCTTCTGTTATTGTTGTTTAAGTTTGAAAACCAGCGCAAGTCCAAATCTTGATGCAAAGTGGAAGTGAACAATCTCCCATCAGAATCACTGGTGCTTGTTAAGATCAAATATGTTTTCTATGTACATCATATCGTCTTTGTGATGAATGTTCCAAGAAACATCAAGCGAGAAGGGACTAATAATACTCCATCCCTATCATTCAAAGCAACTCACAGTGCTATAAAAAAAGGAATGAGGACTCAAAAGTCTGTTCCTAGGTTCCTAAAACTGTACATCACCGATATGGAATGAATCGTTCGTGTTTAACACTGGCATGTGAAAATTAAGCATATGTACATGTACCATGCATGTTCCTAATATATTGCAAAAAAAGGTGTCAAAGTTTTAGACAGCAAACGTTACTATTGTTGTTTCATCAGAGCCAGGATACTGGTAAGAGTAGAACCCTAGACATTTTTGTGTACATACGACAATTAATTTTATTGTTTCAACTTCTCATTTTGAGGAATAAAAATCTTAATCAACCTTATTTCTGTATGTCTGTTGTATTTGGAGCATTGATGATGAATCTTAGTGAGGTTAAAACTTTGTTTTATACAGCCTTTACAGAATTACATCTCAAGTCTTGTGAGCATGACTGAACTCAAATATTCATTACATGTAAAAACATACTACGCAAGTTTAATGTGATAACTCCTTCAACATCTATACTGCAGCTTGTTAACTTGGCATGTTGTCACTGCAATGCTTAAAATTGGAACTGTCTTAACAACATGCTAAAGTAGGCATTTATGGTTACCATTGGATGTGTTTGAATACTGTAGAGCCCAACAGAACTTTGTATACTTTGTATAAAGTAGTGTTATAATATTCTGAAGAGTCGTATCTTTAGGACAATTTCATTCAGGTTTGAACATCAGCTAGGTCATTTTTATGAATTATAAATCCATCCAAATTTAACCTCCAGACTTCAGCTGAAATAAAGCTCTAATTTTAGACCCACATCCCAGCTGTCAAAATCTTTTTTTTATCTGGGACATGATGGTTGTTGACTATAAGTGGACTGTATATATTGACATAATAATAATAAGTGGACATTGTCTTTCAGAAAAATGTATTTGCATAAAGGATGTATAAAATTCAGTTAAACAATTTGTATGTTATTGTCTGGCTGGCTCAGTCAGGTATTGTTCAGTAAGCAGCTGTTCTCATCATCACTAGTGATGCAGAACAGGATAACTTAATTCTCTGAAAATACAATTCTTATTGAAATTTTGAAATTCTTTTTCTCTTTGTAATTTAGTTTGAAAATGGACAAGTTAGTTTGATGTTTTAATATATTTTCAAACAATCCACATTACATATGAACTGTAGTTTCCAAAGCATTTAAACATGAAGTTTGAGATTATTCACTCATATGAAATACAATTCCCCAACAACAGGCACATATGTTGACTTCTTGTCTTCATCAGTATCAATTTTGCTATTATTACAGTTTCATTCAAGGCAGGTGATGATACAAGTCAATAGACTGAATAAAACTGATGATCACTGCTGTGGCAGCTCTTAGCAAACTTGTATTGAAACCGCCTTCTCTTGCAAGCCCATTAACAAAGCAGTCATTGTTGTCAGCCAAGGTGAAGGTTAGAACCAGCTGTAAAGTGCTGACTGGCCTATCTTTGTTCGATGCACCTGTCTCACATGAGGTCAAATTTAGTCTGAGATTTTATGAAAGTTACTACTAGCTGAACAGCATAATTTTGAATATGAAATAACAGAAATAATGATAATACTCAATCAATACTAAACGTATGGAAGGAATAATTTTACAGTTCACACGAGTGTATTTATTCGGCAATATATGTGCATTGTGCTCTAAGATCAGGTTGTCTCTTTCAGAAGCCAGTGCAATAAAAGCAAAATTAATACTCAAGCAAATCTACCTAGATATGGCTTCAAATATCTTTTACTGATGGGGATGTTTATGTGTTGGTGGTTTCTTTTCTGTCAATAAAATATAAAAAGGGGATCTTACTTGTTAACGGTAATAAATACATGATCGTATATCAGTTAAATTTATCCATATTTCATGTGACATCAATGTATTAAAAGTGATGCATGTATTTATACTATATACTCAGGCTTGACAAAAATAAATGTAAAATTCACAAATATTTACTTTTATTTTGAAACAGTGCCTAATTACAAAAAAGGTTTCATCGACAGTTTATTTAAAAAATTCAAAGTGTAGGATGTGAAACGAATGGGTTTTAACACGAAGCAATCACCACTTCCTCATTTAGCACAAGTTATGCATCAAGCTCATGCTTGTGGAAGCAAGGCACAGACAGGATTTGAAAACTGAAAGCATTCAGGCGGTTCAAAATTACAAAGAGGGTCTAGAAGGGATGGATACTTGTCACCAAGCAGTAAATTAAGAACTCCTAGTTAGTGGCAGTAATAATTTTACTTAATTTTATTTTTTAAATCCAATTCATCAGAACGCATTTTCTGATTTGTTTTTTTATTCATGGAATTTTTGTTTCACTTCAACCGAAGACTGTCTCAAAGTTATCAGTAATAATACAGTGTACATGCCTGGACAAAGATCAAGTCTACGTTTGGTGGCTTGTTTTTCAACATTTATGAGGAGTAGCTTTAGTTTATACTAAGCAGTACATGTTTTTTCATTTAACATTTATGATAAAATGTGGATAAATGTTATGCTTATGAGAGCGTTTCTGTAAAAACCATCATGACCCTCAACAGAGCTGTATCATGTGACTTCCCAGGTCCTTGCTCTCGTGCATCCACCAGGTGTTCTCACACTGACGACCCACGTCATCCCATTGATGTCTGTGCTCACTTTATTGTGCAACCCCACTTTTCAAAATCCTGGCCGTACCAATGTTTTGGGGCCCGAAGCTTGGATTCATTGCATCACACAATAATTGTTTCTATAAAGACACTGAGGACACTGAGGCAGTAGGCCACTGCTGATATGTCACAGACACACCAAAGATGACATGGACAGTCGGTTTTGCAGAATCTTGAATTTAGATCACTCAGAACACGATATGCATGTCAAACTCACTTTATCCTCTTTTAACAGTTATGTTATGAAGTTTCCTATGGTTCAACTATTCCAATTTATAATTCAAAGCTATTTGTCGAGTTTTAATAATTTAATTTCCCTTACAAACTGCAGCACAGAAAGGGAATGACATCAACCAGACATTTTACCATGGCTTATGTAATGAACACAAGAAAATGCGAGACTAAATGTTAATTTAAAATTTTCTGCATCGAACCAAACTTATATCTCTTGAATATGAGTAATTATGCATATATTAACCAACATGCAGGGTATTCACGTTTCTTTTGTTGGTGAGTATCTTTTTAGGTTGATTTCTTTGTCTGCATAATATGAGCAGGAAATATTTCATCCATATTTAGTTTAACTTTATGGTTATTTTACGATCATAAAGGATGTTAATCTGACATTAAAGACCCCTGGCCTCATATTTAGATACACAACACTGATCTTGATGTTGTATATTGCAGAGAATGTTGCATACAATGACTGTTTCCATTCTGTACTAGGATGTCATATGTGCAAATGAAACCCTGTGTTAACAAGTTGATTTATCACCATTTTGTACTGAAACATATGTACATACTGTACCTTTCCTGTAGAAATAATCTAATTTTAGCCAATACCATGCTGGGATTGCCATTTTAAACATGACCTCCATCGGACAGTATAAAATGATTTCAATTTGGGATACCAGCTTCTGTGATGAAAAAATCTGAAATTCTAACAAGTATTTCCAGCACATTAAGGATACATTTATCATGGTGTAACATTTATACTAAGTTATCCTATAATAATTAGATCCACATCAAGTGCTTTTATGAGTTACCATGGTGTAATATTTATACATCATTTCATATAATAGTTGAAGGTAATCTATAAGACTATGTAGACATATCTTTTGCATCTGTCTAAAAAGCTATAACTGAAACTACTGATATTTTATATATGCATTTTACCTGATGATAAGTATTACTTGCTAAACTATTATATGAAATGATGTATAAATATTACACCATGGTAACTCATAAAAGCACTTGATGTGGATCTAATTATTATAGGATAACTTAGTATAAATGTTACACCATGATACATTTTTCAAATGGCCTACTTTGAGACAGAAAACATGTAGGCTCATTAGGTATCGATAATCAGTGTGATTAGTCTCCTCATCAATAGTTGTGGAGGCGTTGAAGGTGTCCTCATCTCTCAGGGATCTTCGGATAATCAATGAGGCAGTGAGGTACGTACCCTTGTGCTTGATGAGGTCTCTCATCACATCTGGACATCTGGGTTTGAAACCCATATGGATAAGAGGAGGTTTATTTCTGGAAAAATGAAAGCATAACAAAACATTCCCACTTGGATGACCACCACTCATCCCCAATAGATGTGTCCCCCTGTGGACTAATCTGTCCTTCTTAATTGCAAGTGAAAAATAGCTGACAATGCTGAAATGTACTTGTGTTTACGTTACTTTGCTTACACCAGCTGGCTTAATCAAACAGTCCAACTGGTGGAAATTAAACACGGACATGACCTGCGCCATCTGAAGTTCAAACATTGATGCCCTCTTGTCACAGATTACACTTACATAACCTTGAGATCACATAACAGTAGACTCTGTAATGAAATGCCAGTCAAACTATTCCATTAGCTTATGTAATGTACACTTGCAATATACGCACATACATTTCAGTTATGAGAGTAAAATATCAGTTTCATCAACCATTGACATTGCAAGGTTTAACAGATTTATCGCCCATTGTCCAAGTTCACATAGTTTTAATTACAAGGTATATAACATTTCTCCTCCGTGGAGGTGGGGAGGGTTACTTAGTAGACTAATGTTTAACAGTGATACCAGGAGAGGTGATGGAAGGGTGATGGTCATTGAATTGGCTAAGTATGTGAAGGGTTGGCAGAGCCTGGGGGGTTAGGGATGAAAAGATCTAGTTAATCTGTCAGTCTGTATCCCATCTCCCGCCGCCCGCCAGCCCGTCTGCCCGCCCTGAATTTTCATTCCCACGTGAAGGAATAAACCTTTTTTCGTATCTCATCTTTCCCTGGTGTTGTGTAAAATTATGCTCCGATGTGATAAAAAAAATACTTCTACCATTGCAGACTTCAGATAAAACCAAGATCAGCTTCATCTTTCTTCTGCCATGTTTATTAAAAAATATTTCTGAAGCAAAGTGAGTGAGAGAGGGAGTATGGTTTTACGCCGCTTTTAGAAAGATTCCAGTAATATCACAATAGGGGACACCAGAAATAGGGCTGTAGAGTTGGGGGTTGGGTAGAAGAGTTGAGGGTTGGGTAGAAGAGTTGGGGGTTGGGCAGAAGAGTTGGGGGTTGGGCTGAAGAGTTGGGGGTTGGGCTGAAGAGTTGGGGGTTGGGCAGAAGAGTTGGGGGTTGGGCTGAAGAGTTGGGGGTTGGGCTGAAGAGTTGAGGGGTGGGCTGAAAAGATATGGGTATGGCTGAAGAGTTTGGAGTGGAATCTGAAGAGTTGAGGGTTGGGTAGAAGAGTTGAGGGTTGGGTAGAAGAGTAGGGGGTTGGGTAGAAGAGTTGGGGGTTGGGTAGAAGAGTTGGGGGTTGGGCTGAAGAGTTGGGGGTTGGGTAGAAGAGTTGGGGGTTGGGCAGAAGAGTAGGGGGTTGGGTAGAAGAGTTGGGGGTTGGGTAGAAGAGTTGGGGGTTGGGCAGAAGAGTAGGGGGTTGGGTAGAAGAGTTGGGGGTTGGGTAGCAGAGTTGAGGGTTGGGTAGAAGAGTAGGGGGTTGGGTAGAAGAGTTGGGGGTTGGGCAGAAGAGTAGGGGGTTGGGTAGAAGAGTTGAGGGTTGGGTAGAAGAGTAGGGGGTTGGGTAGAAGAGTTAGGGGTTGGGTAGAAGAGTAGGGGGTTGGGTAGAAGAGTTGGGGGTTGGGCAGAAGAGTAGGGGGTAGGGTAGAAGAGTTGTGGGTTGGGTAGAAGAGTAGGGGGTTGGGTAGAAGAGTAGGGGGTTGGGTAGAAGAGTTGAGGGTTGGGTAGAAGAGTAGGGGGTTGGGTAGAAGAGTTGGGGGTTGGGCAGAAGAGTAGGGGGTTGGGTAGAAGAGTTGAGGGTTGGGTAGAAGAGTAGGGGGTTGGGTAGAAGAGTTGGGGGTTGGGTAGAAGAGTAGGGGGTTGGGTAGAAGAGTTGGGGGTTGGGCAGAAGAGTAGGGGGTAGGGCTGAAGAATTTGGGGAGGGCTGAAGAGTTTGGAGTTGTATTTCAAGAGTTTGGGGATGGAGCTGAATAAATGGGACAGAGGTCAAGTCGGTTGAATTGAGGTTTTGCCTTGGTTGGGATTGCAGTGTATTACATCCTGGTATCCCTTATTCAGATGATTTTGGGTATATTTGTTGGAATTGTTTGTGTATAATGTCAGAATTTAATGTCCTGCTGTCCCTTGCAAAATGGGATACAAGGTGAGGTTACAGGGTTTTATGGAGGTTATGAGAGAGATAATTAATGAATGAATGGATGAAAGGGTTATATGTCTCTCTTACAAACTCTGCCTTGCTCAGGTGGTTAGAAAGTCTCTGGGCCATGTACGGCTTTCATCAAATGAAACATTAACCTTGTGTATAAACAGCATTATTAGCCTTAATCTGTTAACATTTGTCAACAATGCATCAGCTGTGTCCCCCTCATATGAAAATCTTGTGAAACAGAAGAGCTGATCTATGGCCATGTTGCAGGCAATTGCTGCATTTTGAAAAAAACAATATTAAAAGGATAAGGTATGATATGAGGCCTTTATGGACGACTGGAAATATCAAATATTAAAATATTTATTAGAAAAATATTAGACATATTCAAATTTTTCTTTCCAACATGAGGTTCGGTCTCCTGACTTATATCAGTACAGCGGAAATAGGTAAAAAAGGCCAAGATAATCTAGATATGAGAATGTGACCTAAGGTGAAGTTTTACCCCATGTTTGTGTTGTTTTTATCTACATGTCCTCTGAAAGTCAGACTGGGCCAAAGATTTACTCACATACAAATATCAGAAAAACGTTTCCTGAAAACTATCTTACAGATTTCCGTATTCACTTTAGTCGCACCTCTGCAATTGCTGTTATTATCAGTCTCCAAGTGCACAAAGTGTAACTCTGATTCATATGAGTATGGCTTTCCCCTGCTTTCATCAATATTCCAGCAATATTGTGGTGAGGTCCTGGATGTAGGCATTAACCACCAGGGCCCACTTGCACAAAACGATCTTAGCGCTAAGACTATTGCCTATGTTAAAGTATGGGAGTTAAGATCATCTTAGCACTAAGATCGCTTTGTGCAAGTCGGCCCTGGAGACCCCACCGTCCCTGATTCACCCTGGTAGCCATCCTTATTTCTATACACCCTGATGCTAGAACCAAGGAATATTTTTAAAAACTAATAACAAATAAAAAATCATGAATATTAATATCTCCCAACACAAACTCTTGCAATGGCATGGTGTCAGTAAGTCTACACTTCATGAATACAAGGGCCATAATTCTCTAAATTGTAATCTTATCATTCTAATTTTCTCAAATAAAATTAAATGTCAACCCATTAAGATTCCCTGCAAAGTTTCAAGTCAATTTCTGGATATCTGTGATATTCCTTGTTATCCTGCTGATGTTGATGGATCAAACTGATGGATGCTTGGATGATAGTCATTGGGCATTCCTGATAAAAAACAAAAAACAAATTCATAATTTCCTATTAATTCAATTAAGTAACAAAAGGCATATTGCCCCTCATGCTATGCCTGATAATGAAGAATGATAATCACGACCTGTGTATGTTTTTCATTGAACATTCTGCCAGATTGAATGAGCGTGAATATGAATCAAGCATGTTTTACTTGTTCAAACAATCGGTCCCATGTGTATTATTCGTGTAAACAATGTGATGATTTCATGTTAATTACACCCTTGTTATGTGCACTATGATTGGCAGGTGGACACAAGCAACGAACATGTCAACAACAAACCGGTCAGCTTATCCTTGCTGTGCATGAGCGGCTATTCAGATGACCATGGAGTGTTAACAAGCGGCTTTAGGTCACAACAATGCCAGTGATTTGTCCCCTATGATCAGAGAAGAGGAATGGCTTTGACCATAAGGTGACCAGTGGTGATAATTATGGCCTTTGAGAGGGAATAACACACCCTGATTACAGAGGATGCATCAGCATTTTCAGGTCAATAGAAAAGCATACTCAACACTGAAACAGTTCAATTAACTCCTTTGTAAACTGCATGGAAGAGACATTGAGATCAGGTATTCTTGGAATTTAAGAACTTTATCTAGCGTGATTGTTTTTCCCATAGGAGGTAACTAGTTTCTTCATGTATTTGGTTCACTGAAATGGACAGGATGTTTTTTTGTGGTTCTTGAACAAAACATAACTTTGTGACCTTTCTGGTTTGTGATTTCCCACAAAAATGCTTCCAGCATCAACTCTGAAGTTTAAATGCTCAACTGTGGCACTCCATCTGATGTCTTTTATCTTGGAGTTGGTGTGGAATTTTTGTTGTATAAGTGAATTAAGACCACACGTTCCTGTCTCTTGTACAATAATTGGACTTGAAGTTCATGTTTTAGGGATTTTCTTTGCCATTTGAGTAGCGTAAAATGAAAAAAATGAAATTGTTGATTTGAGGTAAACTGAAGAAAGATGTGGACATAAAAATATGAAAAAACGTAGCTGCATGTTTCTTGCTTTTGTAAATATGACAACACAAGACAATAAGTTGGTGTAGCCAGAATAAAACATTAACCTAAACATGTAGAAATGTATTGAGCCAAAAAATATTAAAAAACAACACAAGAAATGGACACTGAGGCAAGACAAGGGCCTGTATTGGCCCACTGGAAATGTCATGTCAGATTTCTGAAACCTCCGAAATGGTGTGAACATTATAAGACATTTTAACGTGGCAGCTCACAAGTAGCCTTTTTCCTTTCTTAAACTGGCAAGGTTTTGACTTCTAAGGCCCCCTAAATCATTCTGTCCCTACATAGTCGAAGACCCCCTCAACCATTCTGTCCAAGAATACCTACATAGTCGAAGACCCCCTAAACCATTCTGTCCAAGAATCCCTTCATGGTCCAGGACAATATATACCATTCTATCTAAGAATCCATATATGGTCCAATATCCTGTATACCATTCTGTTCCAGAATCTGTAAATGGTCCAATATCCTGTATACCATTCTGTCCAAGAATCCCTACATGGTCCAATATCCTACATACCATTCTGTTCTAGAATCTCTATATCTTCCAAGGCCCTGTATAACATTCTGGCCAAGAATCCCTACATGGTCAAATATCCTATATACCATTCTGTTCTAGAATCTCTATATCTTCCAAGGCCCTGTATAACATTCTGGCCAAGAATCCCTACATGGTCCATTATCCTATATACCATTCTGTTCTAGAATCTCTATATCTTCCAAGGCCCTGTATATCATTCTGGCCAAATATCCCTACATGGTCTAATATCCTGTATACCATTCTATCCAAGAATCCCTACATGGTCCAATATCCTACATACCATTCTGTTCTAGAATCTCTATATCTTCCAAGGCCCTGTATAACATTCTGGCCAAGAATCCCTACATGGTCCAATATCCTATATACCATTCTGTTCTAGAATCTCTATATCTTCCAAGGCCCTGTATAACATTCTGGCCAAGAATCCCTACATGGTCCAATATTCTATATACCATTCTGTTCTAGAATCTCTATATCTTCCAAGGCCCTGTATAACATTCTGGCCAAGAATCCATACATGGTCCATTATCCTATATACCATTCTGTTCTAGAATCTCTATATCTTCCAAGGCCCTGTATATCATTCTGGCCAAATATCCCTACATGGTCCAATATCCTGTATACCTTTCTGTCCAAGAATCCCTAAATGATCCAATATCCCATATACCATTCTGTCCAAGAATCCCTACATGGTCCAAGATCCTGTATACCATTCTGTTCCAGAATCCCTAAATGGTCCAGGGCCTGTATACCATTCTGTCGTAGAATCCCTACATGGCCCAATATCCTGTATACCATTCTGTCCAAGAATCCCTACATGGTCCAATATCCTGTATACCATTCTGTCCAAGAATCCCTACATGGTCCAAGATCCCATATACCATTCTGTTCCAGAATCCCTAAATGGTCCAATATCCTGTAGACCATTCTGTTCCAGAATCCCTAAAAGGTCCAGTATCCTGTATATGATTCTGTCCAAGGATCCCTACATGGTCCAATATCCTGCATACCATTCTGTTCAAGAATCCCTAAATGGTCCAATACCATGTATAACATTCTGTCCTAGAATCCCTACATGGTCCAAGACACTGGAAACCATTCTGTCCAAGAATCCCTACATAGTCTAAGATTCTATATACCATTATGTTTAAGAATCCCCCATACCATTTTATCCAAGAATCCCTACATGGTCCAAGAGCCTCTATACCATTTTGTTCAAGAATCCACACATGGTCCAATACCCTCTATACCATTCTGTCCAAGGATCCCTACATGGTCCAATATCCTGTATACCATTCTGTCCAAGAATCCTATAAGGGTCAAAGATAGTGGCTGGCAATGAACTCTGCCTAAATCTCCCAACAGGACCCTGCCCCACGGCACCAATGACCAAGGTAGAATTTCACATGAACAGAGAAAAAGTGCATGATATTGAATTGCAGAAACGTCCTATTTTACATGTACAGTTCTAAATTGTTTAATTCTCTAAGAAATATGAAATAAAAAACAAAAACCTAAATGCAAATTGATAATCATCAGTTCCAGTTTAAAATGACCTGTATAACATAACAGAAAAAACCCATCACTTTAAATTAATTTCCCAAATGTCCTCAGACAAATCTATAGGATTAATTACATTTGAAATTATAAACCACAAATTAATTTAAAAAAATAAATAGAATCAGATACTTGTTGTCATATCGCTTCACGTCTTCTTGTTGCCATGACAATATGCTTCCTCCTGAACATTGCAGAGCTAAATGCAGGTGTTTTCGTTCGCTCTCATCCAGATTCCACTTTAGTTTTCAAAACCAAATTTTCCTCAAAACATTTCCCTCGGATCTCTTAAATCTATATTTTGTAATTTTAAGGTTTAATTCAAAATGAGGTAATGGACATAAAAACCTTCAGAAAAAATTCTTAAGTGCTCTCAAAATTCTTGGCAATCGGTACCAGTGTGTTTTTCCCCTTCCAGAAGCATTCAAAATTTAAGCGACTATTTATTTCTTTGCCAAAAGTTAATTTCTTAGAGCTTCTAAGAGCATCCATTTGTCGAAATGATTTCTTGTGTCTTAAGTGGGCAAGTTATATCACATAGAATCATACCAATAAATAAAAAATCAAAGTTTCACCCCTTGGGGTATTTTCGGACAAATTTGTTGCAGTAAAAGAATCAATTTTAAGTCTTTGATAGGCATTTGGAAGTTGGAAGATCCTTAAATCAATGAAAACCACAAAACAATTTTGTTTTATGCCACAGTGAAGGAGAAGGCATCAAGGGGAGGTAAACTGGGGTAGTTTAACTTGAGTTTAGGCTTTGTTGACACACAATCATACAGATGCAGGGGACGGGTGTGCGGGGGACGGGTGTGGGGGGGATGGGTGTGCGGGGGACGGGTGTGCGGGGGACAAGTCTGCGGGGGATGGGTGTGCGGGGGACGGGTTTGCGGGGGATGGGTGTGTGTGGGACGGGTGTGCGGGGGACGGATCTGCAGGGGACGGGTGTGCGGGGGACGGGTCTGCAGGGGACGGGTGTGCAGGGGACAGGTGTGAGGGGGGACGGGTCTGCTTGGGGACGGGTGTGCACTTGACGGGTGTGCATGGGACGGGTGTGGGGGGGACGGGTGGAAGGGTATGTGGGTGGACAGGTGTGTGGGTGTACAGGTAGACAGGTGTGTGCGTGGAAAAGTGGATGGGTGTGCAGCTGGATGGGTGGACAGGTATGAGGGTGGATGGGTGCGATGGATTGATGAGCTGACAGGTATGTGGGTGTACAGGCAGACAGGTGCGTGGGTGGAAAAGTGGATGGGTGTGTGGATTGATTGGTGGACAAGTGTGTTGGTGGACAGGTGTGTTGGTGGACAGGTGTGTGGGTGGAAAGGTGTGTTGGTGGACAGGTGTGTGGGTGGAAAGGTGTGTTGGTGGACAAGTGTGTTGGTGGACAGGTGTGTTGGTGGACAGGTGTGTTGGTGGACAGGTGTGTGGGTGGAAAGGTGTGTGGGTTGACAGGTGTGTTGGTGGACAGGTGTGTTGGTGGATGGATGGATGGGTGTGAAGGTGGATAAGTGGACAGGTGTG